TTTATATGTAAATGAGTTGTTAGGTTATTAATATTATTCTTTGGTAGCTCAAAAGCGCAAAAACGTCATTAATACATGCTTGGCAATATCATTGATTTTCCTTAATCTCATTCTAATAAATTTCTACAAGTTTAATTATCATTTTGCCCTTTCATTCTTATGACATGTGAAAGATTGAAAAGCTACTTTGAATGCCATGTCAGCACTCCATTAGCATCATATAAGCAACCGTTAGTACCAGGAGCACTCTGGTTAACGGCTATTGACGGAAGGACCATGCGTGGTTTCTCTACCAGAGTTCGAAGATTTTTATGAATTCCTTTTTGGTACAATGACCTTTTTGATAAGTTCAGCGATTTTTAAAAGCACTAAGCCAATCTTATATATAAAAAAAAAATTGAGAGAGAAACGTTTTTTAAAAAAAGTATTAAAAATAGTCTATTGATAAAGAATAATATTAAGAAAAATAAAAAATAAAAATATTATTTTTATTTTTTAATTATAATAATAAAATATAAAAATACATAAATAAAGATAAAAAAAAATAAAGTTTAAGAAAAAAATTTTAATCCAACGAAAAACACCGTATGATTTCCACCCCTAAAGTCATATTGGACCCATGGCTTTTGTTTTATTTTCCTTTTAAATTCTTTTAATTCATGATGCTTCATCTATTCACCTTTTTCATTTTTTGTTTTTTCTTTTAACACAAAAGAAAAAGTCCTGTGATGAATCATGGTTCATGATAGCTCTCTCTCTTTTTTTTTTTTTTTTGGTAGGACATGATTGCTCTCCATTTCCGTGGAAATAACGCTGCAAACTTCCATTGCTATTGCCGGTGCTCGTGCCTTCTCGTCTTTGGCATCCAATTCTACTTTCCGATCCTCTTTGTCTTCCTACGCTTGCCTCTCGATCCATCCTCTTTGAAACTTCCTTTTTTTCACAATTTCATTCGTTTCGTTTCTCCCAAGTTGTTTGTCACAAAAGCAAGTTCTTTTACCTTTTTCTTTCTTCTTCTTCTTCTTCTTCTTCTTTTTTTTTTTTTTCTGACCAACTAAAGAAAATCTCTATGTCACCTATGCTATTCTCACCATTTGATCCATTTGCTAGTGGATCATCTCTGTGAAGCTTCTATTTATATTTCACCGCTTCATTTTGTTTCGTTTCTTCCGAATTGTTTTGCCCATCATTTCTGAAAATTTCTTGCCCAAAAAAAAAAAAAAAGAGAACCCAGGACCTTTCAAATTCACTTTGATTCTGTCCAATTAAACAAACCTCTTTATCTCACTTGTGCTATTCTCACCATTTCATTCATTTGGTGGTTCTTTTCTTGTCTCTGTTCTTCTGTTATCTGTGTATTGTTTTGTGTCTGTTTTCCAATAATCGAAAAAAAAAAGTGGAAAATGGCGGGCACCGAAGTTGGTATTGCTATTGCTGGCAATGTTGCTGGCAAAGTTGCAGAGAACCTGCTGGTTGATCGAATTTTCAATCCAATCTGGAACAGAATAGCTCGTGTGTTCAAATGGAAGACTAATTTAAAGAATCTGAAGAAAGAAGTTAAGAAGCTGGAGGATGAAATAGAGAGTGTGCGGGAATTTATGGAAGCTGCTGACAGAAAAGGGGAAAAGGCCGGGCGGAAGGTCGAGAGTTGGCTGACTGATGCAGAGAAGTACATTGGAGAGATGAAGAAGTCAGAGGATGATGAAGATAAAGCCAAGAAGAAGTGTTTCCTAGGGGTCTGTCCTAATCCCAGGGCACGTTACCACATCAGCAAGAAAGTAGAGGAGTATTTGGTGGCTGTTACTCAACTCCTACAAGAAGCTGACAAATTCAAGATCCCAGATTCCTACTGTCCTCCAAAGCCTACAGCACCAGTTAATAAAGGTTTTGAGGACTTTGGGTCAAGAACGCCTGATTTGGACCGTATTATGGAGGCCTTGAGAAGGGCTGGCACTGACAAGATAGGTGTTTATGGGATGCCTGGCGTCGGAAAGACCATGTTAGCAAAAGAAGTTGCCAGACGAGCTGAGGAAGCCTATTTATTTGATTCAATTGTATTGGCTTCTGTGACAAAGGATGCGGACTTGAAAAGAATTCAAGGAGAAATTGCTGACAAGTTAGATCTACAGCTTCATGGGGAGACTGAATTTGGGAGAGCAAATCAACTAAAGGATTATCTGAAGAAAAAGAAGAGGATTCTTGTGATTTTAGATGACATCTGGTCGAGGCTAGATTTGGATGAACTTGGAATTCCTTTTGAAGAGATGAAGAATGAGGCATGGTTAAAAAAGAAAGAGGCAAGTTCAATTGGTGAAGAACAGATGCAATGCAAGATTCTCTGCGTATCTCGATTTCCCAATGTCTTATCAGATGACATGGATACTAATCAAAATTTTGATGTTCGCCCATTGCGAGATGAAGAAGCATGGGACCTCTTGAAGAAGATAGTTGGTGATGAAATTGAAAATTCTGGCTTGCAGCTCACAGCAAGGGAGATTGCCAAAGAATGTGCTGGGCTACCACTAGCCATTCAATCTCTTGGCAAGGCTTTGAGACGAAAGGGATCTTATGAATGGAAGGATGCTCTGCTACGACTGCAAACGCCCTCTCCAGAGAACTTCATGGGGATCTCTGCAAATGTTTATTCTGCAATTGAATTGAGTTACAACTACTTAGAAGGAGAAGAATTAAAGCAAACTTTCTTGCTTTGTAGTTTGCTTGGACAGAGTGCTTATGTAGAAGACTTGCTAACATATGGCATTGCTTTGGGCTTATTTCAGAATGTCAAGACAATCGGACAAGCACGAGACAGGGTACTAACATGGGTTAGTAAGCTAAAATCTTGTTCTTTGTTGCTTGATGATTGTAGTGATACTCACATTAATATGCATGATATTGTTCTTGGTGTCGCCATATCAATTGCCTCAAGGGACTACCATGTGTTATCATTGATAGATGACAATGTACCCAAAAAGTGGTCGGAGAGGGAGGCAATGGGAGATATCAAATGGATTAGTCTACAATATGCTAATGGTAGTGAGCTGCCCAACGAGTTGGATTGTCCACAACTTAACTTATTCTCTTTACGTAGCAAGGATCCTTCTGTGAAAATTCCAGAAAAGTTTTTTCAGGGAATGCCAAATCTCAGAGTCTTGAATTTCACTAAGTTGCATTTGTCATCCTTGCCTTCATCAATTTGCCTCCTAAAACATCTTCATACATTACATATTAGTGAAAGTATTCTACAAAACATAGCTTTCATTGGAGAGCTTGTGAGTTTGGAGGTCCTAAACCTTTCAGGGTGTGATCTTGAAGAGCTACCAATGCAGATTGGACAGCTAACCCAGCTGAAGTTGTTAAATTTGAGTGATTGTACCAAACTCAAATTGATTCCACCACTCATCCTAGCAAGTTTATCCAAACTTGAAGCTCTGCACCTGGGAAACAGCTTCAATCAATGGGACACCGCAAATCAAGGAAATGCAAGCCTTGTCGAGTTGAAGAATTTACATAACCTTGCTGCTTTAGATTTGCATGCATGTGATGTTCAGCTTGTTCCAGAAGACTTGTTCTCTGAAAGACTGAAAAGATACAAGATCTTCATTGGAGAAGTGTGGAACTGCTGGGACACTTCTTTCAGAAGCTCAAAAATATTGAAATTGGAGCTGAATACAAGTATTAGTTATGAGCATTCTATTTGCATGTTGATGAAGAGAACAGACGAATTACATCTAGAGAATCTGAAGGGTATCAAGAATATAGTTTCTGAGTTAGATGCTGAAGGTTTTCAGGAACTGAAGTTTCTTTATGTCCAAAATGCTCATGAGATTCAGCATATCATTAACTCAGTGGGACAAATTCCTTCCCATGCATTTTCCTCCTTAGAAGTACTATTTCTTCAAAATTTAAAGAATATGGTGGAGATATGTCATGGTCGACTTGGAGAAACATCTTTCAAACGATTAAGAACTATAACGGTTGAAAGTTGTAAGCAGCTCAAGAGTCTGTTCCCATTCTCCATAGCTAGACGGCTTCTCCAACTTGAAGAAATTAGAGTAACAGATTGCAGTAACATGTTAGAGTTTGTTAAAGAGGAGAGGCAAGGTGCCACTAATGATATTGATATTGCAGAAGAAGATCAAAATTTTGAACTTGCCCAGCTACGGTCCTTGCAATTGCAGTGTTTGCCAAAGTTCATTAGATTATGCCATGGAAATGAGGAAACAAATGATTCAAGTTCCAGGCCTGCACCACTTTTCAATGAAAAGGTATTTAGCTTTTTCTTTCATACATGTTTGTATATATACATGTATGTGTGTGTATGCATACTGTAGATAAACCCTAAACAGATTAACTGATAGGAACTCTGGAGATCTAGCTATCAATCAGCTAGGTGTTATAAGGCAATGTTTGGTTAGTAGCAGTGGCATTTTGTGGTGAAATCATAAAAGCAAGTTAAATTTAAAAGAAACTTTCCATAGGAAGCAATTATAACTAAGCCTTAATATTTATAATTTTTTATTCAATTAATAAATGAATAAGGAATATGTATTACTTTCATTTTTTAAGGAAAATAGGAATTCTTTGATTATTTATTAATGTAAAAGGAAAGTTAGACGTTAAGGTTTTTCTTAGCTTTTTATGCAAATTTTATACTTTTAGCTCATTTTTATAGTTTAACCAAGGAATTGTCATTACCACTAACTAAATAAGTCCTAAATAAAATGAGAATTTATTGAAATGATATAATTTTGGAGTTATTTTCCTTTAAATTTTTTAGAGGTATAACTAATATGCACTAATTTCTTCTTTTAATTCTTTTTTTTTTTTTGGGGGTAAAATTGTTAGTTAAGAAACGTGAATGAACACTTTGGTTAATAGAAGATGACCAAAAAAAAAAAAAAAAAAAAAAAA